TTAATATATTTAAATGCTTTGTACAATTCTTTGGTTTACCGACAATTTGTATAGACTACACAAAAAAATCTAATTTTTTTAAACAAATTATTTATGCCATGATGGAAATGTAGAAAACACATACAAATGTAGGAAACGCATACAGAATACTCCGGCTGGGAAGAAAATCGCAAATGGAAAGGAGGCATGGGAAGAAAGTCGCTCCAGTAAAATTTGTGTCCTATGGTCGCGATTCCCTTGGAAAATCAACGGCTTAATAATAGAGATCCTGATCCGGGAGAAAATGTCAGCCCCCAGTCAAACTTAATAATTGAGTCAGCCCACTAGTCAAACCCAATAATTGGGCCGGATGTACGTACACTCGGGTGTACTATATAGGGACTCAGTTCGGGGACCTATTTTATTTGACAGTTTTCCCTAAATTTTATAGAGCAGTATAAAATAGAACACTGACTAACGTCGACAACTGCGTAAAAAGCTTAGAAGAAAGAATGAGGCTGCAGATTTGAGATTGGGATTTCTTTGAGGGTGGTTGCCTCTCTCTGCTAGCCATTGATTTTCCGCGACCAAAACAATTTGTAATCAACAGCCCTCCGTTTCTCGTAGAGAACAACGTTTTTATACGTACATATATGTATATATATATTTCATATTTCATACACACACAAACATATATCGAAGTTCTTTGGCGCACATCAGCGTCATGCCGGCGGCAGCGGCGGTGTTGTTTATAGAGGGGCGATGATGATAATTCATTCTCCTGAGCCGATTAATCGGCATTAGGGTTATCCGACCCGTATCTTGGCTGGGCAACACACTTACCAGATTGAATTTCTCACGTGTTTTGTGTGTTTGCAGCCATGACTGTGTCAGATGTTTCTCTTTGCTTATTATTAAGCTTTGTCTGAGCCTCCATTGTCGATCATTTATCACCGGTCATGTACTCCTGATGTTGATGCTGTATTTATGTCTGGATTGCAGTTTTGTAAGTACTTCATCCTACATTCCATGTATTTGGTGGTATCAAAGATTGAGGCTTTTTGGGTACACATAGAAGGGTTAATGAGTTCTAAAGGGCGGTTGCTCCCCTTCCATGTGTTATTCAATACAGCCTATGATTTCACCAATTTGCCCTAAACACTGTGATCTTATAATTCAACAGCCCTATATGGTCATGTAACGATGATCATTCTTTATTCTGAGACGGAGGTAGTATATTATTGTGTGTTTGGATGTGATTCTTAAAATTGCTTCTGGGTGGAAGTAATTTACAGTGTTTGGGTGAAAGTAATTTACTCCTAGAAGCAGTTTTTTAGAAGTTGGGGACCAACTTCTAAACTTATTCCGATTATGTTTCTTCTTTAAAAAAGAAGCAGAATCAGTTCTAAACACCCCCTATATTTAATTTCTGGGATAACCAGAAGGCCTTATACCATATTATTCAAACATGAGTCGATGATGATAATTTTTGTTATAAGAAAATAAAATCAGATGCTTTAGCAACCTGTTTCTTGGCGTGGCAATTGTTTACTTGCAGCCATGGCAGGTTGTGCTATTCTGATAGACAAAATGTATACTGAGCCTCATGTATTAAGAAGCAATGAGATCAAATATCTTCTTCTCTTTCTTGACAAAGAGAACATTGGTATAAGAAGAGGCAGTGCCGCTACCTAGAAAAGTGAGATTATGTGGTTGATATTGAATTGATAAAATGAGAATAAAGTATGAACCATTTAGAGTCATACAAACATTACCAAATTTGGTATGAGACAATCTCAGTGGGACGGGCCAAAATGTAAAGATGGGACAATCATAGCAGGACGGGGGGAGCAATTATACGGAGTATTTGATTACAATGACATGATACTATGACATTTCAGTCTTCATTGCTTCAACTTCAAACCTTATCATATATTTTCAAACAAAATTTAAGTATCAAATATGAAACAAAGTTTTCACTTCATATTTTTATCAATAATAAATTTTTGCATCTACGGTAACAATTCCATATCTGATGCACTACTAAACAAATTTTCTGTCAGCCCTGTTTTTTTGAATGTCTACTGATATTAGATCGCATAAATGCAATATATTGGTTCTTTTCAGACGAAGGGACTACATTAGTTATATTGAATGTCTGGGAAAACTGTATGCCTGATACCAGATTCTTCACATTTGAGGCAGTGATGATCATTTTTTTTTGGGTGATAAAAAGAATCAAGTCTTTCAGGCCACCTGTATCTTGGCACAGCAATTTCCTTTGCAGCCATGGCAGGTTGTGCTTGTGTTGGTAATTTGATAGAAAAATTGTACTCTGAGCCTCATACACTAATACAGAGTGAAACCACATCTATGTGTTTAATGTAAACGTAAATTTACACCAAATAATATTTGTGGTTGAGATTTGTTTAGAAATGAAGTAGTAAAAAGAAAGTGTGAACATTAAAGGAAGCTGATGGAGTAATCATCACATTTTGGTCTACCAAACTGCACTTTGGGGCTTCTATAGATTCTTGTAATATTCCCATGATTTAGAGGATCAAATCTGTTTATGTCCTGCAGGCTTTATTGGGACAATTCCTTATGTTTCTATGACACGCTGATTCTTGTATTGTCTTTGGGCATTGATCTTCTCCTAACTGCCTTCAAAGATTTCGGAAAGGAAAATAAGTGTATGCTATGATGTTAATCATAAGAAAAAGGGTGCTTTGGTATTGCTTGGATTGATTTGATGGGTCTAGGCGATGACGGCACATGTTTATATGGCCTAGCAATCCCGATTTTTTTTGGAAACTTCTCTATGCTTATTTATTATTCCATCATATATGTGTGCATTTTGTGTTGAATTGTAGTAGAAACTGAAGCAAGCACAATTAACACGCAAGGCCTAATTAAACAGTCTATGTTTGGACTCGAGCACAACTCTAATTGTTTCTTCAACTGCTGCCTGAAGCATGCCATGCTATCAATTCTTCCGGTATTTCATAATCTATGCTCCATCTTCACACAGGCTTTGCTGCATAAACTTTCACATAAAAGAGTTAACGAGTTTCTTAGAGTGGTTGCTCCCCATCCATGTGTTGTTCATTTTAGTCCATGATTGCCTAGAATAACCAAAGCTTATAACTCAACTGTTAAGTCAAGGATCAGAATATGTTTCTTATAGCCATGGCAGGTTGTGATTGTGTTGTGAATCTATACTGACATATATTCTGTGACAATGTATTCTTGCTTATATGTGAAAATAAGGTTGGTTCTTTCTTCAAAAAAAAAAAATCTTATAAATTTATTGTATAAATAAGCTTCAACATCAGTATCATACTCCCTCTGTCCCTCAGTCTCTCCGTCCCTTGAAACTTTCCTTTATGAGATGTCCCCAAAACTTTGTCACGTTCCCTTTTAATCAACTAATTTGTGATTCATGTTATTCTCTCATTTGCACAAATCTCAACCACACAATTTTTACTTTATTATTTTCCGTGCCGATCAAATTTGGCAAAGTTTTAAGGGATGGATCGAGTATATCTTAATATGCATGCATGTGATGGCCTGTAAAGGGCATGAGGTGCAGAGGGTTCAGGTTTACTAATTTGAGTTGCCTGCTTTTGTTCCCTTTTTCGAATAGAGAGGTTAGAAATGATTTATGCTTATGTTGCTTCATTTATAACAATTAGTGAAAACTGATTTCAGTGGCAGTGGACAGGTGGGGGTTTCAAAACCTTTGGAAGTTAGGGGAGGCGTTTGTGGCAGTGAAGGAGAACGGGTTGTCAGATGTACTCCCATAAATGGTCTATAGGCTTTTAGCTTTTATGAAATTATTCAATATGTATGTAAAAAAATAAATTATTTGGGGTTGATTTTTTTAAATTACTTGTTACATTTCATTTGTATTAAATCCTATCAAATATAACTACACCCAAAATGATTTACTTGGGACAATGTGAATTGAATACTTATTTCATGTTAAATAATCAAATTAAATGATGTATTTTTTGATTTCTTACATTCGCATCTATAGATAGTAGTATTTACTATCGTACTAGTATTATTTTGCATCTTATGGAATGGAGAACGGCAAACAACTGCTAGGCTGCTATGTGTTTCCTTAACAATATTTTTTTTATCACTATTTATAAAATTCAAAAGCTGTGGAATTGATTTTCATGTTTGGTGATGCAAAACTGATTCATTGCAAACAGCGGGAAACATTCCCCTACATATATAACTCTCAATGGCACTTAACCTTGCTCCTCGAAATATTTTATTTTTCCTAGAGCTTATTTTCTCATGAATTTAATGATAGGGTATTTGCTATCAGCAGCCTCACCATGTAAGAATGTACGATAACATATGGAGTAGATAACAAATCTAGTTGCACTACTTCAAGTCTTCAAGATGAATACACAAAAACTCAATTCAAAATCATTAATAGAAATTTACTGATGAATAAAAACTACGTAGTGCAATGTACAAAGTAGGGGTGAGCATGGAACGGGACGGGACGGTTATTTCAAAAAACCTGTCCCGTCCCAAAGTACGGTTCTTTTAAAAATCAAGAACCGGTACCGTCCCGCATATATATGGAACTTGTCCCGTTCCGTACCAATTTTTAGCACGGTTCGGTACGGTTTGGTACGGTTCTTTGGTGTTATCTGGTTCGTAAATAATTAACCCCCATGAAATATAATTAACCCTATTTACATAGCATTGTTTATATCATTTAGTATTGTTTTTGTTTTAAAGCTAACTTTTAGTGCTGTCAAGTCTTAATAATTGGATTACGCCCAAAGAATATGCAAGATTGCATATTTGTAATATATGGACATACAATCCCTGACATTTATACTCGGTAATATGTTATATATAATGTACGTAGTATTATTATATTATAACACTAGTTTTCGGGACATATGGTCACTAACATTTATACTCGGTAATATATTATGTATAATATATTATTATAATCTAACATTAGTTTTCGGGACGGTACGAGACGGTTCGGGACAATACGGTTCCGGGACGGTTCCGGAACGGTTCTCACTAAGAACCGGTACCGTACCATATTATTAAAAAAGATCGGTACGGTACGGTACGGTTTTACATTTTTCCGGTTCTATCGGTCCTGGAACGGTTCGGGACAGTTCTTCGGTACGGAACGGGAATTCCCAGATCCGTGCTCAGCCCTAGTACAAAGTATTACAGTATTACTTGCAAAAAAGGCTAATTGACATATTGGGGCTATATCATTGTAGTGGCATCCCATAGTCGCCATATCCTAGGACTGGCTCAGAGCATTGGCATGCTGCTCATGGCAGTATTTAGAAAGTGTTTGCACTTCTACTTAAAAAAACGCTTCTCGACTTTTAGCTCAAAAGTGCTTTTTACTATTTATATTACACAAAAAACATTTATTTTACCAAATACTATCAACTTTTACTTTTCAAAATCACTTTTTTCTCAAACACTATCAACTTTTACAACTAATAAGTTTTTCCAAAAACACTTCCAAAAGTGCTTATTTTAAGCAAAAGCAGTTGCAAACACTCCAAGAGGGAGGGTGTGAAATGTTTGAGTGGCTTCAAAAATTACACACATGAAAAACACTCGGGGAGTGTTTGCAATTGCTTCAACTTTAAAAAAGTGATTTTATAAAGTGATTTGGGGAAAAATGATTAATAGTAAAAGTTGGTAGTGTTTGAGAAAAAAGTGATCCTGAAAAAGTAAAAGTTGGTAGTGTTTGGTAAAATAAGTACTTTTTGTGTAATAGAAAAAGTGAAAAGCAGTTTAAAGCACCCCTCCACCTGCTTCCAGCTTTTAGTTTTTAAGTGATTAATTTAAGCAGAAGCTGTCATTTGAAAACACTTTTTTTAACGTTTTTTAAGCCAAAAGATGAAAAGTGCTTTTTTTAATCAACTGCAAACACTCCTTCAATAGGCAGAGAACAGTGGTTTGGTACTTTTCGTTGGTGAGGTGGACAACAAGCTCTCTTACTTCGACATCCAATGCTCAACTAGTGGGATCGCTGTTTTAGCTGATTTTTCCTTGCATAACCTCCAATTTGTCTGGTGCTATTTGCAGATCATTCATACTTCTTCACAAGTAGAGCCCGTTTGGTAGCACGAAAATCGGCTGTTTTGGCTAGTTCTGCTGAAATTTATGAAGTTCTGGCTGAAGTGGCTGTTTTGGCTGATTCTGCTGATTCTAGAAAAAGATATTTTAAAAATATATTTTATTAATAAAATAAAGAAAAAATTACATGTAAAAATAGCTAAAATGATCATCTACAGTAACTTCAGCCAATACAGCCAGAAAAGTAACTCCAACCTTACTTTTTCTGCTTATTACACAATTCAGCACGCGAAAGTAAAAATTACGTGTTTGGTGAAAAAGCTGGCTGATAAGCCTGATAAGCCGAAGAAAGGGGTCTCCAAACGGGCTCGTAACGTCATTAAGCTTTGTTGTACATGAATGTAAACAGAAAAGCCAAATGTAAACACCTTTCTGTATTGAACATCTGGGAATAGCTTCAGCTGGAAATATGCACATCTGGACAACTGAACCTCCATCGTTTTGTATCCCACCTCCATTTAGTGGACCGAAATACAAATATAGTTCCATGTATAGTTCCAGTTCTGCTTCTGATACTTCTTTTCTTATTTGCGTTTTGTTTTCTGGTTCATAACCGGATTAACCGCCCAAAACCATCCAGAAAACCGGACCAGAACAACCCAAGTAAACCGGGCTAGGTCAGACAGGATACCTCAGTTTAGTACTTTAGTCAGTTACATTGGGGGTTCAATCCATCCCATTACCCGGAACCGGCTGTTTGGAACCATACAGGCAAAACCTCATTGAGCATATCCCATTTCTTTTTTCTTTTAGAGAATTAGTATAAGACAGCTAGTTGAACAATGATAGCAATAGAGTTGAGATCAAGCTTTCCAACTACCTCTAACCCCCTTCAGCTTACCTTAGACCCGGAAAAGCATTCAGCCCCACCTTATGCATCAAATGGGATGTACTTCGATTATTTTTTGCCCCCTAAAACTCCAAAATGCTCAGAGTTTGTTATCTGATTCCTTTTGCTTCATCCCGGTCATCACTTGCTAAGCTTCTGGATGATTCTTCCTTCTTCAGACACAACTCTCCTTAGTCATTCTTTTTGTAGGGCAGAATCATCCCAGTTCTGTGCCCTTGAGGCATTTATAGAAATCAAGTGGATGTGAATTGAAGAACGTAAATACACGAAAGTAATGCTTTTTAGCTAGGCCAGTAACAGAGGTATCACCCATCCAATCTTCATTTAGAGCATTCGAAGATGTTCAATAGCAGATCCGCAAGAAGATACACTTCCTTTTTGCCAAGGGTCTGTTTGGATGGAGTGAGGGGAGAAGATTTCAGATGGCTTAAAATATATCTTATTAAAATGATATGTCATTGTATATTATGTTAAATCTTTCAGTTTTTATAAAAGTTCATATATGAATATCAAAATATAAATTAAGCCCATCTGTAACCCTGCATGCAAACAGACCCATAAATGGCTTCAAGAAAAATGAACCATCAGTTCAGGTAGCTACCTTCTAGCCAGACACTCTCTGCTACCAGTAGTCACTGCAAGAACAAACGCCGTCCTGAAAATGATGGTAGCGGATTGGATCTCTGATGACAATGGCTCGATTCTCCAACTTCGTCAATAGCTTTGCAAATAAATGACAGTCTCCACAAATCCTGAGGTTCTTTCTGATTCTGATTGTCTTTTCTTTCGGCAAGCTCATTAAGCCAAACGCGATTGCAAGCTTTTCACTGTGACAAAGAAGTGAATCCTCCATCTGTTCGCCTTCAAGATCTTGCAGGACAAAGTTGGTATCAGGAACATAACCTGTTTCTTTCAATCTCTGAATTATCTGATTAAGCTCTTCTTCAATGTTATTTATCTGTGGGTGTGACTTGTCTCCCATAATGAAGGCGTGAATCTGCTTATTCACTTCAATCCAACTACATCCCGGTTCTTTCTTCACTCCTTGGCTCCTCATGTCTCTTCTCACCTTTGAAGCCTCTTCCCACTTTTGTGTCCGTGCATAGATATTAGAAAGCAGTATGTAGGTCCCGGCATCAGAAGGGTCTATGTTAATTATTTGTTTCACAGCATATTCAGCCAAATCCATGTTTCGATGTAACCTGCAAGCACCAAGCAACGTTCTCCATATCACAGTATCCGGTTCACATTCCATTTCATGAATTAACTCCACGGCTTCCTCTAGTTTACCAGCTCTTCCCAGAAGATCAACCATGCAACCATAGTGTTCTCTTCCTGGATCAACTCCGAAAAGCTTCTTCATTGAGCGGAAGTAATACTGCCCATCTTCTACCATTCCGGCATGGCTGCAAGCAAATAGAACCCCAAGGACGGTTACACGATTTGGTACCATCCCCCTAGACCTCTTCATTTCCTGAAATAGATCAAGTGCTTTTTTGCTAAAACCATTTGAGGCTAACCCCATAATCATTGTGCTCCAAGAGATGACGTCCTTCTCCACCATCCTAGTAAAAGTACGGTTAGCATCATCCACGCTGCCACACTTACAATACATGTCAAGAAGTGCATTATGAAGTATCATGTCTTGGTGGAACTTGAAAACCTGAACGTGGAATTGCCTGCCGACCTCTAAAAGCGCCAAACTGGTACATGCTCTAAGACCACTGGTTAGGGTTGACTGGTCAGCTGGAAAACCAGCTCGTTTCATTCTCATGTAGAGAGTCAAGGCTTCATACCCGTCACTGTTTTGAGCAAATCCTCCTATTATAGAGTTCCAAACCACCCGATCGTGTGTTTGCATTTCATTGAAGACGACAAGTGCACTCTCTGGTTGGCCGATTTTGGCGTAGACATCAATAAGAGCACTGCGGACAAAGACATCAGAGTCCAACCCCACCTTAACGATACTGCATTGGAGAGGCGTGAGGTTAGAGATGGAATCGCATGATCTGAGAACAGAGGAGTAAGTATACATATTGGGTTGGACTCCATTCCTTAGCATGAGGATCAACAGCTTGAAAGCCTGGGAATTGAGGTTGGAAGTAGAGTACGCCGATATGATTGTAGTCCAAGCAACGACATTTCTCTCTGGCATTTTGTCGAACAGAGCCTGTGCTTCACCCAACATGTTGAATTTCACATACATGTTCAGGAGTATGTTGAGTAAGAAGGTCTTCGGCTGATATCCATTGGAAAAAACGTGCCTGTGAACGTGTTTGCCGTGTTCTACAGCGTGTTGGGCGACACAGCATTTTATAAGCTCGGAATAAATGATAGCATTGGCCCATATCTTGTGTTTCTCCATCTCATAAAGGGCATTCATGGCTCTCGGGAGATCCCTCTGGTTGCAGTATGCAGCAAGCTTCCCAATCAATGCATCAGATAACGTATTTGATCCTTCAGTTGTATCAACCGTACGCGTATCGGGCATTTTTGCAAAAGAAAAGGAATGGGAGCTTTGAAAGGAAGAACCTACTTCTGTGATTGAAGAAAACAGATGCCTGGATGGCCCGACCTCTGTAAGCTTTAAGCTTGGGAAACTGCATTTAAATCTTGACATCAACATAATAACATTCACATCAAATATCTATCTACAAGTCGGAAAAGATTCATGTTTTATGAAGTGCAAGATACTATTTGCAGAGGAACTAAGACCACGAAGCACCGCGGTTGCTATACGGAGTATTTTGTGTACCTTCAAAACACAGTGCATAACCTGTAAAACAAAAACGGCTAAGTATACTTCAATATGTCTTCTTCTATTTATACTTTATCCTTCTTAAACTTTTATCCTTCTTTAAACTGATTTTCACTGGCGCGTTACATGAGTCATGAGGTTTGGGGTGCAATTATAATTGTTGTGCTTTCAAAAAGATTCTCGTCCACTATTCACATGGCCAACTTAAATCATTTTTAATCATTTATTTTTTATATCAATTTTTTAAAATCAAATTTACATGTTTTATCAGGTTTTGTAGCGGTTTTAATGTAGTTTCTTAATATGCAAATTTTATTTACTAAAAATAATTAGAGGGTGAATAGGGATTAAGTTGTTTTATCATCAGTCAAACATCGTAAACCGTTTACGGAAACATTCTAGCGGAACGGAGGGAGTAACTTTTAAATTCATTTATTTTTGTCTATGAGTAAAACTTGAAAATTTTTAATTCCAATTTTATTTTTATTTCACACAAAAAATCAATATTTTTTAAAATTATTTTTAAAAAATTGAAATTGGTTAGTATTGGAAAAAAAAACTTCTGCGTGTGGTAGGAGCGGAGGGGAAACCCTAGTCTCCTCTTCTTTTCTTCTCTTCCTTCAATTCTTTTGGCTCCGATGATGAAAAAAAATTCATTTAATCACTACTTTCAATTCTATCTATATGTTTACTTTCTAACATTGTCTAGAGATGTTATTTTCGATGGTGAATTGTCGATTGCCAGATGTATATTTTTTACCATCATCGGTCGGATGTTCTTGAGTGATAATAAAAGATTTTTAGCAACTTCTTCATCAATCATGAATCTGGATTTCTCCTGCATCACTATTGAGGTCGATCGTCCCCCTCCTGAATCTGGATTGCATGGATTGCTTTCTGGTGGCTAGTGAAACTGGAACGGATTTTGCACTTGGCTCCTTACCGGTGGCTGTCAAAATCGAGAAATTCAATAGTTCTTTTTCAGTGGCTAGTCAAACCGGGTCCATTTTGAGTAGTATGAGCAGTGACACTGTGATACTTGTCTACATCGTTGCAGGGTTAGCGATCATGATCGTCTTTATAACTATTTTTTGTTCTCTGTCTCACTCTAGTGTAGCATGATTATAATGCTTCCGTTACTAATAATAATTAAGTTGTTTGTTTTAAAAAAAAATTTGATGGCACATTAGTGAGAAGAAAACATAAGACAAAACTCTAGAATATTTTTCTGTATTAGGTACACAGGTGGTAAAATTAATTGACTCAATGCTCATCTTCTTCAAACTATTAAGAATCTATCAAAAACTTGTTCCAAAAGTTCAACGAAAACAGCTAAGCCGAACAAACCAAAATATATTACGTTGGAACAAAAAACAGTCACTGTATAAATAAAAATGTTTTGTGTAATATCACACATTATAAAGAGAAATTTCTTGTATGTTATGTATCAAATTTTAGAAAATGATGTAAAAACTTATGGACTGCCCATCATACAACTAGCAGTTGAAACACCAAACTCATACTATTGAATCTAAAATCATAAAACACTCAGTTCAAAGTATTACTCTATCAAAGTATCAATGATTAAAGTCCTTTTTACCGATGAATTTAACATAAAGATGAAATTATATTGCTAAAAATTTATTTGGATTACTCACATAGTACTTAAAAACAATAATTACATTATTTGGCATTCGTTTGCTTAATGAAGCACAAACCTATATATTCCAAGCTTCCAGTGTTTGTGAACAAATAAAGAATGAAGTATGATAAGAAATAGAAGCAAGAATCATATAAATCACCAATTAACAAACCAAAATGTGTTAAGACATGAGGTTTCATCCTAAAAGGTCAACCTGTTATGAGGAGTAGTCCGGATCTTAATATAGCATTTAGTTCCTTCACACTAAGGTGTGGGAATTCAACACCCCTCATCACGACAAGACACTTCGTCTGGATCGTGTCGTCATTCATTTTTTCATCAATTCGTTATTGTCATTTTTTATAATCATGTCATAATATTTCATAAGGGGACTCACACCATGGATCGGTTTGGCTCTGATACCATGTTAAAACATGAGGTTTCATCCTAAAAGGTCAACATGTCAGGAGGAGTTGACTTGATCTTAACATAGCATTTAGTTCCTTCACACGTTTCCGGTGTGGGAATTCAACAAAATCCACCTCCAAAAATGCATAGAAACACTTCCGCTATTGATTTTGGAACATAATGCGGGAAGAATCCAATTACAAATATCTCTTTAGCATGCAATCTCTTTAGTATGCATGATGAAGACATATGTTTGCACATTATTGGTACTTACAATTTAGTGCCACTTTTTCGTTTCACTAAGAATAATGTATTCATTATATCTTGTTTCACTGGAAGTTGGAAGTAAGCATTCAGAAAAAATAGATTTAAGAGAAAATTTTTCATATATGCCCTCCTACCCTACTTTCACTTCACTTGAAAACGAAATTAACTTTAAAATATTCAATTCATTTAGTTACTAAGAAAATAATAATTCCAACCCAAAAAATACAGAGTAATTTAAAAAAACATGACACTAAATCATATTTTTTTGCTAGACTTTGTAGTCCCTCTTTATAGTATATGTTCAATATTTCATTGTTAAATGTCAACATCCTTGATTGGGATGAGTTTCGAACCTGTGACCTTGGAGTGTTGCTATCGAAACACAAATCATATTTCTTTAAAAGCACAACTTTATCAAAGTAGATTAGTATGTAAATGGTTATGGAAGCGTATACCATACAGCCGGCTGTACGGCTGGCACCGTACAGCCGGTGGCAGTTTTGTAATTTTCATGAATTTCGTGGTTTCTCGTAAATGAGCATTGATGTAATTTTGCTGAGCATCGAACCTGTTCTTCTGAGTATTAAAAGCCTAACAATGAGCACCATTGATCTCTGCTTCATATTTTCTAATTCGGTTTCTTTTTATGATTTTTTCATTTATAAAAATTAAAAATCTTAAATTATGTTTATAATTAATTTCAATATGTGAATCTAATGTAGTATGATATGTTTGATATGTGCATCATTTTAAAATGAGCATAAAACAGTACCAAATGAGCATACATAATTTATAAAATGAGTATAAAAAAATTCAAAACTTTATTTGTGTATGCTCATTGATTTTGGGCGTATATTTGATATGTGCATCATTTTAAAATGAGCATAAAACAATACCAAATGAGCATACATAATTTACAAAATGAGTGTCAAAATATTAAAAACTCATTTTTGTGTGTTCATTCATTTTGGGCATAATACTCATTTGAATTTAACTTAAAACTCATTTTGAAATATGCATGAATATGACATTTTAAAAAGAGTATTGTACTAATATCAAATGAGTATACATAAATTACGAAATGAGCGTTCAAAAAACTCATTTGAGTATGCTCATTCATTTTGGGTGTTATACTCATTTCAATTTTACATGAAACTCATTTTCAATCTGTTTAATATTAGTTTGTGTGAGTTCATTTCTTTTAGGCGTATACTCATTTCTTTTAGGCTTATTTAAAATTACCACCATGCTCAAACTTTTATTTGTGTATGCTCATATCTTTAGAATTATGTACAACCTAGGTTATCCCTGACCCCAAAACCACCAAACTAAAATAATCAGTGTGAGAAAAATAGAAAAAGAAAAATAAAGGAACAGAGCGTGCGAAGTTAAGGACGAAGCTGAAGGAGAGCTGCTGAAGAGTTGCGGTTGTCGAAAAAGGGAGAGGTGCTAGTAGGCTGCGAGCAACGGAGCAAGGATGATCGGCCATGGAAGCATGCGATGACGGAAGCCCTGCGATGATGGAAGCCCTGCGATGACGGAAGCCTGCGATGGAAGCCATGCGATGACGGAAGCCTGCGATAGAAGCCTGCAATTCACGAACTAAAAGTCCGGCTGTACCGTGCGCACGGTACAGCCGGCCGTACCATATAATTTACGAATGGTTATTACTTATTAGTACGATTGTACGAAGTGTTATTATTGCTAAGAACTATGAAGAGGCTGCGATGAATATGTTAATTTTAGGCATCTGGAATTTCTGGAAATGGTCACGATTTATTGCATCCGCTTCCATTTCCCTCTGGGCAAAACGGATCTAAGCCTCTAAGGAGTTTTCTAAAAATTCCATTCCAAATAATTGATTTTTCATTTTTTTCTTGTATGCAAACATTTGGAATTACTCCTTTATGCAATATGCATGTATATATACTCTTATTTTCTTTGGGACTACTTGATTTCGTCCATCAATAAACCTGCCTATTATCACGAGAGTTATGCTCTTTATCAGGGTTAGTAATATAGCTAGTAGGATTACTGTTTGATGTTTTCTATATCATGTGTTTCTATTAGTATGTTTAGTCCAATTTGTTTATAATTCCTTTTAGTACAGTCTAGTTTATTTAGATTTAATCTGATCCAGATTAACGATTTGATTAGTCTGTTCAGGTAATCAGGTCTCCGCTTCAGTTTTTGTTAAGTAAGACTCACCCAAAATTCTACTATTCCCATTCTGGAGTTCCTGGAATTCCAAACCGGTTAATGCTTCATTCAGAAGACTGGAAATTACTTGTTTGGGTTATGAAACTGAACTTGTAAAATTACCGAGTCTGAGACACAAATTGGAAAGGATTGAACTCTACAATGTAAAATTACGAGACTTAAATTACGGGATACTACAAATTCCAAATCAGATGACACTACTTAATGAGCCCTGAACCGGAACCTATATTTTCGATGAAAAAATGTTTGGTGTATACTCCGTACATTTTGGTGTACACCTTTCGTGCACTCATCTATCTCACGCACATTATGGGTGGACCGGTTCCGGGCCGGGCCCGGTTCGGGACTTGAACCGGCCGGGCCTCGGTTCAAGGTAGGGGAGGCCCGGAACCGGCCCGGGTAACCCCGGGTCCGGTTCGGGCCGGGCCGGGCCCGATTCCGGTTCTATATTTTTTTTTTTGGGTTTTCCTAATCAACCCCCTACCCTCCCCCTCAACCCCAAACCACCCCAAATGGCCCAAAATAACCAATCCAACCCAAAAACTTAAAAAAAATTCAAAAAAAAAAATTTAATCCAGTCCGGACCGGGCCCGAACCGGCCGGGCCGGTTCACCAAAATGAAGGCCCGGGCCCGGAACCGGTAGCCACCGGGCCGGGTCGACCCGAACCGCCCATGGGCCAGGCCGCCGGGCCGGGCCGGGCCGGTTCAAACAGTGACCGGGCCGGTTCCGGGTTGGGCCGCCCGGCCCGAGTCCATCCCTAACGCACATAGAGTTGTCTGTCCACGGACAACAGACTTTCGTACACTCGTGTGTCTCACGCACACAGAGTTATCTGTTATCTTACTCTTATATGTGATCAGACAACTCTGTGTGCGTGCGACAGACGAGTGTACGAAAAGTGTACACCAAAATGTGTACACCTAGCACAACTCATTTTCGATTATGAGCGCACCCGTCCATCCTTTTTCATCTTTTAAATGGACCCCACCCCTTTTAAAAATGCTTCCCAATGGTGTTCTAATACACAAAAAAAACGAGGTCGGGACTGGGACCAGACTGAACCAGTGTACACCATCTCAGTGACCAACTGACCAATATGACCTACTTGAGTGAAATAACAAGGTTTAAAGTTGCAGCTGACTTGTACTGATTAATTAATAAACAAACCATAGCCTCACAAAACAATCAGATCCAGTTACTTTCCTCGCTATCACTAATCAATGATGCACAGGAAGGGGGGGTTCTGGACTTTTGAAAGTCTATGAGCTGAATTATCACATGGTGCAATTACCCAGTCAAAAGTTCTGTACATAAACTGCCCTAGACGTATTTTCTAGTCTATTTCTACGTTATAAGAAGATGAACAAAATACATAATATTGAGGATAGTTAAGAAACTACTCTGCGCTCCATTTGATATGATTTATAGAATGAGATAAGTTTTGATCATGGTTGCCCCGGTTGGATCAGATAGTAGATGTCTGATCAGGCGTTTTCTCATGTCACTCGGTGCAATAACAAACATATACAAAGCAAACAACATGAGGTCCAATGAGGATAAGG